TAGTAACTTGCTATGCTTTTTATTTGCATCCTTCATATGTGCTAGACTTCAATTTTCTCCACTAGACTTCAATTTTCCTTAGGTTGCATTTGGTTAGAAAGAATAAAGAAAAAAAGAGAAAGGAAATAGATAGTTTTTTTTATCGACAAATGTTAGTATGTTAGTATTTTGTGGTGGGTGAGATTTGAACTCTCAACCTCCTTATCACTCATAGATATGGCAATGGGTACCCGGACCTTGGGAACCCGCTAAAAATACCCGCAACGGGTCGGGTCTGGATCCATATTTTGGACCGGTGGGTAATTGAAATCTGCAATTTTAAGACCTACTGTTAGATAGGTCTGGATCCGTATAATGAGGTACCCAGACCCATGGGTACCCGAACCCGCTATTTCTTCTTAAATTTATATATATATAACGACATAATTGTAATATCATGTTAATATATATTGTAATATCATATTAATCTATAATTATAATATCATATTAATTCATAAATGTGATAGTTCTGTTGTTAAATTGTGTTGTTATTTTGTTAAGCAACGATGCTATGTTGTTAATTCATATGTATGATGTAATATTATGTTAATTGAAGAGTTCTTAGTGAAATAAATTTTCATCCAAATGTTGAAGTTGTTTTTAATGTTTGTTTGAATAAAATGAGTTGTGTTTAATAGTCAATTAAGTTGTGTTTAAAATTTTAAATTAAATTTTATAGTTTTTTCTCTTGCTGATTACCTAAATAACATATAAGATCATAGAGAGAAAATACACAAGTGCATAAATTACTTGCAATACCCGCTGATAGTATACCAACGGGTATTAGCACAAGTCTGGGGCGGGTCTGAGTTCAAAAATGAAGTAACGGGGTGAGTCCGGGTAATGTACTACCCAGACCCATTGCCATCCCTAATCACTCAACTCTTTAAGTCTTTCACATTTACCACTTGATCACCTTACGACTATGAGGAAAGAAAGAGTTATTTCTCTCATTTGGTAGGAGAGAGTATGGAGAGAGAAAATAAAAGTGGTGAAACCCACCAACTTTTGGTTTCTTCTCTCACGTGAGAAGAAAAGAGAAAGTAAGATAGTTTTTTTTGCAATTACTATAATGCCCTTAGCTTATCAAATATTTATTATTATTTATAAGGGTAAAATTGTATTTTTAATAAAAACATATTTTCTATTTCTTCTACTTCTTTCATATCTATTTTCTACCAAACAACTCTTACAATTAACTCATTTTCTCATTTCTTTCTTTCTACTCGTACTCTTTATTTTTATCTTCTCTTATTTTATTTTCTTCCATAAACCAAACAAAAGATTAGGCTATGTCCATCTGACCTTATTTTAAGAGTGACTACAGGATGAATACTTTAGCTTTCCCTAAATATAAACCAATAATTTAATAGAATCATTTGTATCTAAACAGATTCCACAATGTACTAGATATAATAGGACTCATGATAAAGTTCACACAATGTATAAATTTGAACATACAATGTGTTAGGTTAGATCAGAGTTAAAGAACTATAAAATTAAAACTAAATAAAGTATAATTTTTTAACTACAGAAATTTTTTGTACCACTCAATTCATTAATAAAGAGTAAAAGAGATACTCAAATCCATTAGCACAAATTACATAATGTCCCTCACTTGCAACATAGCTCATGTTGGTTTTACCAAATTTTAAGCTTCCATCTTTCCCATTTAATATTAGAAAAGCATGTTATTCAATTTTAAATGAATCTGAAATTTAACCTAAATCATTAGGATTGTCATTACATGATCATCATGAAGTCCAACATAGGTACCTACCATTCTGCTATCTTATATTAATTTTGAATTTAACCAATTATACATATATGAGAGTATAATTTGTTCAATGGAAGTTAGAACTTTCGTGCAATCAAACATGTAAATGAAAATAGACATACATGGCCTTATCCTTAATGCCCAACTTCTACTAAAAAATGGAGCAAAACACCTTTAGCAATATATTTCATAAATGTTAACAATCTCATGATAATTTATGTGAAGATATTTTTGTGTGGAATAGACATATACCTGATTCAGAATTAATGTATACCTGAAAGTTTGTTCCCTTCTATGGTCTAATGCCTAACATCTCCAATTTTTGCTATAAAAAACTCACATGGAAATTATCTATGCATACCAAAGGAGGTACTTGCTAACTTTTTTTATGAAAGCTTAGTTATAGGGCACAAGAAAATGTGTTCCAAATAACTTCCCCTTTGCACATTCTGCATTTTAATTTTTGTTGAAAAGCTAAAAAAACTGGTGTTTGTGACTTTCATTTCCCTCACTGCTATATGAAAATGCATGTCTATCATAATATGCAAAGGTATGTAGTAGGTACCCTTTTTAATTAATCTTATAGTTTTCTTCTTTACACTTGTATTAGTGCTTTAACTTCATTTTGGAAGTTAGGAACATTAACATAATATAGCTAGGCTATGTAGCTTATATAGCATGTGTTTTTGTTACTTTTTAGTTTGAAAAATTCTAATAATCTATTTCAATGACCAATTAGTAAAAGAGATAACACTTATATAGTTCATGCATTCTTATCTATTTTTCTCCCTTTCTTTTCAGTTGAGCTTAATTTTAAAAACCTTTTAAGGAGTTGTTAATGAAAGTTCTTTATTTGAACAACCAACATGATTAAACATGTAGACCGATAATGGATTTCAGATGTGATCTCAAACCACACCAGCTAGCTAGTGGATTGGAGGTTGTTTTAGAACTTATATTATATATCAAAATCAGTTAGGGTTTGTTTCTGAGTTCGGTTTTGGAGGGAATGAACTGAAATCGAAGACTTTATAGCCTTCTCTGTTAGGAAGTAAGTCCCACATCGCCTACCTCATTGTTTCGGGAATGGTTTAAATACCTGTTGGGTTACTCCTCTCATTGCCAATTGGTTTTGAGATGAACCTTAACATTCTCACAATTGTATTTCATGAATCTGAAACCTTCAGTTTCCTTTCCTTTTTCTTCAAAACCTAACTCGAAAACTAACCCTTAGTATGAAGTACAATTCAGAAGAGGAAGATATAATGAAAAAGATGAGGGTAGTGTGGACAGGACTATAGAGTTTTAAATGCTTATCTAATAAATATACAAATTTCTTATATATAGAAATGGCTACAATTGTGATTTTTTAACACAGTTGTTCTACACTACACATTGCACACTCAAGAAACTAGCAAGCATGATATAGTAAAAAGTGATATTAAATTCAGGAACACTGTATCTTGATCATGAGAAAACTTTAATACAGACACGGCAATACTAAAATAGAAAAAAAGGGAAAATATAGAGACACAATGCAAAGCAAAGTGGGGTTTGGTACATTTGTTTTATGCCCCAAAGGATATGATATTGAATGGAACCAAAATCAGCAAACCTAACTAATGTAATTACTCATCATACTTCAAAAATACTCAACAACGTAACCATTGTTTCAAATTGTGGACCACACATCATCATCTCGCTTCCACAAATTACCATAATGGTGAGTACTATAACCACAATTAATTGCAGTGTAACATTAGACTGCATCGAATTCAAAATATTTTTTAATCACAAAAGATTCATACCATAATAGCCACAATTTACATCACAACAACAGTTATATACCATAAGTGATGTTGTGACCACAACCACAATTTTAGAGCACTGTTTAAGCAAAGAAAAAATAAAGAAATGGTAAAGTAAATTTAAAAACTAATAAGGAAAGCAAAACTAGCTTCAAGAAGAATTTAAAGAAAGGAAGAGAGTTGTAAACATAGAGCCTCTCACCTAGTAAGATGTAGTGAGTAGATGTACATAATCTTACCATTGCAAGCATAGAAACCTCCATATCATAAGAGAAGTAAATTCACCATTTAATCAAGAAATTATGAAGAGAAAAATTAAAGATTACTAAATTTGCACTCCTCATCTCAGAAAAACAACTTCCAAATACCATTGCCTTTTCACTCTTTACACACATCAACCATGAAACCATACATTACTATAGAACATATAGTTCTAGATAATTAATTAAACAAGCCCAACAATATATCTTAAAATCTCACTTAACTAGCAAAACCAAGTAAGTTCACAGAATATATTACATAATTCTAGAGGTATATATCATTAATTTCTCATCATCAAGTCCCTGAAGAGGTTTGTGAAGAGAAATCACTCAGTGCTTCAATCTCAACCTCTTTTTTGTGGAAGTTTCTGTGGCAGCCACAAGCAGCACAAGTTAGAGCAGAAATTGTACCTTCATCACCACTTGCCATGAACTCTCTACAACCATCTACAGCATATCCTCCAACATTAGCAGCATGATTCTTTTGGCACTCTCCATATTTCACACTCCTAACACTTCTTGCAGGTTGTTCCTCTGATCTTCTAACTATAACTTGGCGCCTCCTCATGTTTCCAAATTCTTCAAAACCCTGTAAAAATATAATTATATATGTTGAAAAATATCTAAGAGGTTTGATGAATGAGATTATCAGAAACTGGAATAGAAAGAATCAGGTAGAGGGAGAGAAAGAAAGAGGGAGAGAAGGTACACCTTACTTTGTTATGTATATGTAGCCCTAGCCCTAGAGTGTGTATTTTATTACAGGTAAACCTAATGTTCAATATATTAAAAATTTTAAGGGAAGAATATGTATGTAATGATGGTGTAGGAAATTTTACCATTAATTGACCATTATTTACTTTTAACTTTTAAATATAAATAATACGAATGAATGATAAATAATGTATTAACTAAATATAAATTTTAACATTCATATCCCATATATTACTTGTTTCTTTCGAGGTATGTGATATTCAGTCATGTAAAAATTTAATAATAATTTTTTTTGGATCGACAAAAGATAATTTTATTAAATAAAGGAATATTACAAAGTACAAATAAAATGACTTACAAAAAAAAAATTAAGAGAAGCTAAATGATTATCATTCCAGTCATCTAAAAGAATGTTGTCCTTTCCACAGTTAACATTGATCCAAAGCCATGAAAGAACCTTAGAAGAATTCAAGATATTTTGTAAATATGGTTTAGCATTGTTGAACACAATGTCATTCCTCCCAAGCCAAAGGGCCCAAATAGTAGCAAACCAGATAATACTCCAAAGCTTCCAAGATTTCCGATTCTTAATCAGCCCCAAGAAAGAAGTAAAGTGATGAATGGGTGTTAGCGGAATGGCCAAGCTAACATTTAACTAATTGTACATAAGTTGGCACAAAGCATAAGAGAAATCGCAAGAAGAAAATAAGTGAGTAACGTATTCTTGATGAGAATTGCAGAAAACACAATTAGAAGTACTGTTATTAATCAAAGAGACACCCCGCTTGACAAGAGCGTCCAAAGTTGGAATTCTATCTTGGAAGAGCCTCCAAGCAAAAGAAAGGACCTTTAGAGGAGCTTTTGACTTCCAAATGACACAATGATTAATGTCGGTGAGAATGTGAAGTTGATCGGAATGAGTGATATGTCTGTAGGCGGATTTGACGGAGTAAAGCTTGGATTTGTCATGAATCCAATCCCAAGTATCTGACTTGTTGATATGAAACTTCAGTTGGATAAGATCTTGCAAAAAAGAAATGGTTAAATCCTTCTCCCAAGTAAATAAAGGACGACGCCAAGTGAACTTCCACTCCCAATTACCTCTCACCCAAGTCCCAAAGTTACAAACAAGACCCTCCTTAAAAGTACTAAGATTATAAAGTCTCCTATACTTCTCAGAATAAGGACAAAGAGAAATAATATGTTTTCTGGTTCAAAGCGGTCCAATTACTCATTCGGTTAAGACTACAAAACAGAGTCGTTTTCAAGTTCGGTTAGCGATCGAACCAGTCAGACCATCCGGTCCGATCCGGTTATTACAATATTGTTTTGATAAACCCCATGATATAATCCACCCGAATAATATATACTGTAATCAAATAATCTGTCGTCTATAAAATTATTTAATTTTTTTATCTTGTAACGTTTGAAAACCAAATCAATGCAAAATGATTCCCGTGGACATAAGGAAACCCCTCAATAGTGATGGGTTTAATTTGGAAAGATCTTTACTTTTCACGTAAATAGTGATTTATTTAATTAGTTTAGTGGTTTAAGGCTCCGCTAGATTCTTAGGATACCAAAATATCAAGAGTTCGATTCCTGATAGTGACACTTGTTGGAAGGGGCAACCACACACATCCTGAAGGAAATTAGTTCTTTATCCAAAATAGTGAGAGTATACCATTGATAGTGCAAAAAAAAAAAAGAGTAATGCATTTACACTAGCAAATGGGTTTCATTTTCTATCACAAGCTAAGCCATATTTAAGCCTCATACGTACGTGGCCCCTAACTTGATAATAAAAGGCAAATTTGTTGGGTGCACTAATACAATTGCAATAACATTTGTGAGCATGATAGATAAGCTTTGCCAAATTTGTACGACAAATTCACAATGATTCTTTTGTTTGCACGTAAATGTACCTTTATAAACTTTGTCGTTACACGTTTAGGAAAAGAACTTTCATATTTGATCAATCATTAAATAAAAAAAAGTTATAAGTTTGTTTTCTTTATACTTCTAAGTTAATTAGTCTCCTTTTATTCTAGTTATATTTTGGTCATTCCAGTTAGTCAGATATAACACACATTTTGTAATAATTTGATATATATAATTGAAAATTTTGAGTTCAACTATTTTTTATTGCATAACATGATAATAAATTGAGATTGATCTATTTTTTATCAAAATATACTATTTAGATTATACGTTCTTACTTATATAACTTTATAAGTTAATTATAAATAATATTTATCTAAAATTGGTCTGGTTAAAAACCTTTCATCATTGAGCTAAAATTATTATTTTCAAGTTATGTCTTCTATTCTCAATTCAATCAAAATATTACAAGTGTTTCTATTTACTAATTAATGTAATTAATATTCTCTGTCCTATTTCAATTATCATTTAAGATAATACATAATGATTAAAATAATAATTAAAAAATAATATAAAATAATATTTTTATTTTGCCTAAAATGGTGATGACAGAGATAATTACTGCTGACACACCAAGCCTGTAGTTAATATAAATACTATCTATGTCCTGAGATTTATCTAGGTTTTTTAAGCCCTAGATTCAACTCAACTACAATTTTGTTAATTATAAAAAATTATATCAAGGGTACAATTTTCTGATCCACCAATGCATGATATCATTTTTACACCTAACTGAAGCTTTCTTTCATTTACTAGTTACACAAAAATAAGGAAACATTATCCCTTCATTCTCTTAATTAGATAGGGAAGATGAGATATTTGATTTGAAATACATATTGTCGTCTTCTTGTTTAATATCTTATGATTGAAAACCAAGCTGAAATACAAAACATTTGAGAGAAGAGAAAATTAGGTAGAGACGAATCCAACACGTCATATTTAGTCACATTTTTTGTGCTATAATTTATGGCTAAATTTTAATTAGAAATTTAATGTGTTGTCAAGATTTGATTGATTATCTTTATATAGATACGTCTTCATGCAAGTCTTTCTCTTAAGAGAAAGAAAGTGTAATAAAGCATTCATTTAAGGCATTATTAGGTGATTAATATAATAATATGTGTTATGAGTGGCAAAGAGATTGATATGGACTTAATTAGATTTAAATTCTAAAGGAGGAATGAAAAATTATCAATCAATCAAAGTAACTTTAATATATGACTTTATTTAACTAAAAACTAGGTATTTCATTTAACTATAAATATGAAATGTATTTTTCATTGCCAACACAGAGCGACTCGTACGAGAATGCATGAATACTCTGCTAGAAAATCATTTAAATGATATTAATTAAGAATTAAAATAATTTTTAGAATAGCCAACCCAAAATCAAACTCAGTAATGGTATCAATATTATGTGGGTGGGTGAGAGATACTTTATCATAATTCTCCTTGAATCTGCCATTCAATTCTGGATACAATAAAAGATGGGTGACATTCACTAATATGGTTTATTCTTCTTAAAAATTAGAAATCTATACTTTTAAGTTGATTGGCATGTTGGATATTTCCGATTAATCCTAATCATATCCCCGAAACTGAATGATTAGGACATTATTCCGAAACCAAATGTTTATGCCCATACATAAACCCTAATGGAACAATCCTAATCCAGACCGAAGAAAAACCCCAATTGGTTTCATAGCGAAGAAGAAAACGCATACCTTGGTTAGCCATTCCGAATGCTCCAAGGTATGTGGGTTGTAGGATGTTCCGGTTGCTAGAGCCTGATGGTTTTCCGTTCGCTCCGCTAGAGGGGAATTCAGAGAGAAAGAGAGTGCTTCTGATGTTCTTTTGCAAAAGTGAGAATGAGAGGGCTTGGTGATGTTCTTTTGCAAAAGTGAGAATGAGAGGGCTTGGTACCTTATGCATTTCTCTTTTTCTTTATATATGTTGGTTTTGTGACTTAAGTCACATATCCTCATAAACCAATCCTTATAACATCAGTTACTCAATAAACCCGTTGCTCTGCAACTGGGGACCATAACCCATAAAGGTAACATTAATGGTTACCACTTAAGTTGCAATATTCTAATTCAGTCCCTTCATCAAAATAGAAATTGCCCGAATATATCTACACTCATAATATTTCATGACACATATGCCCTTAGCCACCAAATTAATCCATAAGACCATTTTATATATATTGGCCAAATAAATAATGGCTATAACACAATTATAGAATTATATTTGTGACCCATAAATTGTCAGAAATTCCAACATGGCAAACATGAGAAAAGAGAAAATAATTAAAAAAAAATAACACAACTTCCACCCTATATTTGTAACATCATTACTAAGATATAGAAATAAACAAATTAGACAAGATTAATAATAAAATAAGAGTCACAAAGTTTTGTATATAACTAAATTGAATACCCATAATTTTAAAATTAAACAATTTAAAATTTCCAAACAATAAATAAGAAACTTGTAACAGAAAATGACTAAATGACTTACCAGGACACCTGACGATGAAAACTATTTCAACATTGAAACTCTCGTTTATTTTAAAATTACATGTTTTAGATCAGATCTATAACTTTAGTATGTGCGGATAAACTCTAGCGATAGTTGTGAGAATGCAAACATGTTAAAAAATATATCAATCTTTTCTTTTAAGGCTTTTATCTCGTTGCTTGGTGAAAAATGAAGTTTATGTTATATAAGTAGGTGAAGGAAGGTTGAAGAAGTTAATTTTTTTTAGTGGTGAGATAGAGAATTAAAGCATTAATTGAGAATTCAAATCATTATTTCAAGAAAGAAAACCTTAAAGACACAAGTCAAGATTGGTTTTTTTTTATTTTGAAATTCATGTGTGACTAATTAATACCTTTGATTATTATTTTTATTTGGAAAAATTCATTATTATAGAAATATTTGAAATTTCTTAAGTATTATATTAGCCTTTTACGTGTTATTAAAATATCTTATGTATTTTCATGTTATAGTAGAATTATTTGTACACCAATTTATTTTATGCTTAATATATTTTTATGTTTTTTTTTGTTATCTGTACTTTAATTTATAATATTCAAACTTTTAGGTATAAAAGATGACAATTTGATAAAGGTATATATTAAAAACATGATATGTGCTGGTTGTGTATATGTTATGTCTTTATTGTATGTAAATAGTTATTATATATATCATGCAGAAGTGTTATATTTTTAGATAGATATGGGTACTTGTTATTATTTGATTGCATTTTTGTGTTTATTTAATGGAAGAATTATTATATTATATTATAATGGATTTATAAACCAATAGAATGAAACCGAAAAGGTCATATATTAGATTTTAGCGATTAAACAGTACGATCATACCGAAAGATATTCTATATAATTAATAATTTTATATTAATGTAAAATTCTATATAATTAGTAATTATCTATGAAGTAACATATCTCTATCTTATTTTGGACTAGAATAAAATAAAACATTAGAGTAATATTCATTTTTTTAATTTTAAATGAATCATTTGGTTCACATCCCGGTTATTGCGGTTTAACCATGTTTAACATGACCGGACCGAAATTTTCCTAGTTCAAAGCAGTCCAACCTCTCATTAGTTTAAGATTGCAAACGAGATCTATTTTCAAGTTTGATTAACGGTCGGACCGTCCGATCATTATAAATAATATGTGCTTTCAAATAATTAGGGACAATTTTATACCTTACTATCATATGTGGAAGTACATATCTTTATATGTTGTTCAGACATACTTTAGGATCTTCCAGGAGCATAATAAGTGTGCAAGATTAGATTTTCATATATGGAAGGAAATGAATTTATATGTGGTGCCAAAAAGTGTGAATTTAGTTAGGATTATGGTAATATCTATTTGGACAAGTGATTTCAAGGTATTAATTTGGACAAGTGAATTTATATGTGCAAGTAATATTAATTTGATGAAGCATTGGGAATAACTTAAGATGATTATCAAGATTAAAAGCTTTCTTACTTTAAGTGGTCATTGTATGAGGTTTATTCTTGATTCTTATCTTTTCACTTGAACTTTGGTTGGGTTAAGATTAAAAAAAGGGTTCCTTTTATTGGATCTTAGGGTGGGAAGACAAATTTCTTGAGTATAAGGAAGATTATGCTTCACTCCTTTATTAGAGAACTCAAACTGATTATGTGGCTGTAAGATTTATGACCGATGAAGACTTGTTTAATATGTGTGCTTAAGAAGATAGAGATAAGTCATGTCTTAAAAAACATAGGCTTCATGATAACAAAACTATACTACTCATTATATAGAAATTGCTACTATGTTTTTTCGTCTTAAGAAAATGACACTTGAAATTATTTTTGTATGCGGTGAAATTTGAG